CCCTTACTGTAAGCATATGGGTCACGTTAATAAACATTTAAAATTTATAGGCATCCTGGCATCTTTTCCTGTGTACACTGTACACTCTCTTCAATATTCAATCTACAAGTTCTAAATTAGCTGGTATGGAATGGAGAAGAGAACTTAACAGAGAAGTAACAGATGGAAGGAACTAAAAATTACTGTTCTCTTATATTGCAGAGCAGGGGGGTGGACAATCAATATACCAATCATGAACCCTTTCATTTCGTAATTGTGGACCAACTAAGATTGAGCAACCTATGTGGCAGCAAATCAACAATAAAAGCTATTTTTTTGGTAAAACCATGCTCTCAAATAAGAGATGCATCAATCCTCCAATGTGCTTAACACATCTATTTTGCTTAAATGCTACACAACAAGTAGCTCTTGACTCACAGCCACAAGTAAGCCCAAAATTTCTGTTGAGACATTTGTTAAGTGATTTTTGCCCAATTCTACAACTTTTCTTGCCACAGTTGTTAAATGAATCATTACAGTTGATAAGTTAGCAACCCAGCTGGTAAGTGAATCTGGCTTCCCCATTGACTTTGCTTGTCAGTAAGTCACAAAAGGGGATCACATGACCTTGGGGCTCAATAACGGTCATACATATGAACCAGTTGCCGAGCTTCTAAATTTTGATCACATGATGCTGCAAAGATCGTGATGCTGAAAACCCCGAAAGGTGCTTTTTTTCAGTGCTGTTGTAACTTTGAATGGTCACTAAAGGAACTGTTTTAAGTTCAGGACTAACTGTAGATCAATACATTTTAAAGAAACTGTAAAATTTGCCCTAATCCCTTCGGCAACATCACTGGATCAGAGCTCCACTTCCTATGGCTCCCAAAAGGCCTAGAGTGTGACTCTTGGCAGTATTAAAAACTCCTCCTTGTCTGTTATCTTGAACTAAGAATGTCTTCCAAAGTCTTTCTAAAAGTAGGAAGAAATGAAGATTCCTGGAAAGGCCAGATGAAGTGCTACAGTGACACACCCTGAATGATGAAGTTGTAGGAGAATGGCAGGAATAGGTCTAAGGTAGATCTAAAGCAGAGATATGTCTTTGATCCAGGAGCCATTATATTATATGAGGCTCTGGTCTAATAAGTGGAAATGGGGGATTAAAAATATGATTTAACTACAAATGTAATCTAGTTCCCCCGTGTTTCATCATGTTTCACTTAAATGTACAACTTGTTAGCAACTTTTAGAGAGAATTTGGGGACTAATCTTAAGGTTTTCAGAAGCTATGTAGTGGGGGAGTGGAATAGATTATGCACTTCTTGCCCAAAGGAAACCGATTAGTAACAAAGAAAGAAATGAAGATAAAATCAGGATGTTTGCATCTCATTCTGTAACAGAATCTAACAGTACTCATCCTGTGTTACTTTGGGCAGCCCAAGCTTGAAATGTTCTGCCATAGTTCCCCCTCCCGCCTCAATGAAAATTAAGCAGCTTGCCTTGAAAACAAGCCTGTAGAACAGACCAACTGATAACATTATTAGATGCCTCGTCTATCAATGATAACTCTGCTATAATGTGAATGTACATTTCTTGGATAGTCCGGCTGGAGCTTGACTCTTACCTCTTGAAGTTGTATCTCCAAAGGAAGTCCCTTTCCTGGAATCAGATGGAAAAGTAGGGGCACTTTGTTCCTGAGACCTTTCCCAAGGAATGAAAGACCTGTAGGAAGCAGAGGAGGGTAAGGTCAAATGAGAGAGGAATCAAATGCAGTTTCTCATTTTGGGAATACGGGCTGTGAAAATAATCCTTTGAAGACAATGAAAATAAGGTAGTCGGCAAAAGGTGGAGTTCCCTAAGATTTTGGTGCCAGAGTTAACTGCCTTTTGGATAGAGGGAAAAGTATCCAGTGGTGGGATTCAGCCAGTTTGCACCGCTTCGGGAGAGCACTTTGGTGAACTGGTTGTTGGAAGAAATCATTAGGGCAGAAAACTGGTTGCTACATTATTTGAATCCCACCACTGAAAGTATCCCGACCTTATCCTTCCATCATCAATGCTCCAATAAAGGTGATGGCTAAATAATGACTCTTCTGCCAGATTTAGCCAAACATCTGATAAGAATCTGATCCAGCATTCTGTTTCGTCAGTTAGATCAGTATTTCTCAACCTCAGCAATTTTAAGTTGTGTGTACAGTCAGGTAGTCCTTGACTTACAACAGTTCCTTTAGTGACCATTCAAAGTTACAGCGGCACTGGGAAAAGTGACTTATGACCATTTTCACACTTATGACCGATGCAGTATCCCCATGGTCACATGATTTTCATTCAGAAGCTTGACGACTGACTCACATTTATGACGGTTGCAGTGTCCTGGAGTCATGAGGCCCTGTTTGCGACCTTCTGACAAGCAAAGTCGATGGGAAATCAGATTCACTTAACAACTGGGTTACTAATTTGATCCACTTAACAAATGTGGCAAGAAAAAACGTACAATAGGAGCAAAACTCACTTAACAAATTTCTCACTTGACATAAATGTTGGGCTCCAATGTGGCCGTACATTGAGGATTACTATACTTTAACTCCCAGTGTTCTCTAATGTGAGGGCTCCCTTCTACCAATATGCTGCAGAATTCTGGGAGTTGAAGTCCACATATTTTCAAGTTGCTGAGGTTGAGAAACACCGAATCAGATGCTTTTGAAAAACTATCATGCAAGTTCTTACTCCAATTGTTCCAGTCTGGCAGCTTTATCTGATGTGGCAGCAGATCGATGTTGTTCTTGAGTGGAGATTACCTGTTGGCTGATAAAGAGAAAACATAAATGTGAACTCAAACTTTCATGTGTTAATTAAAGTGAAGATCTGGCTACCTTGAATTGCAGAAATCAGTCTAACACATGTGGAGAGCACCAGGATCTGCACTAAAGAAACTATTTTCTTACTCTTCCAGTATAAGCTACAAGATTTTTCATGAAGGAGGACCACACATCAAACACTGTGAGTTGCTTTTCCTTAAGTACCCACATGGAATATACAACTTGATATATTGTCAATGGAGATTCTTAGTCATCCAGGTCATTATTGTCCCAAAGGTGCTTTTTCAAGAGGCAACTGGATTTTCTTTGAAGATGTTTTGCTTCTCATCCAAGAAGCTTCTTCAGCTCTGGAGAAGACCTGAAGAAACTTCTTGGATGAGAAGCAAAATTTCTTCAAAGAAAAACCAAAAACTCCAGTTGCCTCTTGAAAAAGCACCTTTGGGACAATTGATATATTGAATTTATTTGAGACCATGAAAGTAATTGACAGCTTTTGAGAGAAAATGAGATTTTTCATTTACAGAAATTGTCAAGCAGACAAATGAAAAGTCCTCTACTCTTACCTGGTGGGATGATCCCCATCGGTCTGAACATCTAAGGATCCGGATCTCTTTCTTATTTTCTCCCGTGTTTGAGATATTTTTTGAGACAATACATTATTCAGCCAGCTATCACCATCATCCTCAGCTGGTTCTTTCTTCTGAATGACTTCTTCAGTAACTTGTTTGGTTGTCAAAGGACCCTGGTTGGTGGTAGGAGGAGGAGGATGCTTAGCTTCTGAAGGAAATGGTGGCATATCCAGTGTGGTTCCTCTTGCACTGCTTTTGCTAGGTTCTTTGAGTGGGGATGATGGTAGCAAGTCACTATCTTCATCTTTCAGTCCCAGCCAGTCAGCTCCAGTCCTGCGTACAGGACTGTTAGATGCTGAAGGGGAAGGCTTTGATCTCTGTTCTGTTTTCAGGTCACTGAGGTTCTCAGAGGAAAACCTACAAGAGTTTTTGCTAAGTGAAAAGAATTTTAAAGGCAGCCTTATGGGGACCAAAATCAAAAGGTTAACTTGGCCTACTATTACCTGACAGACTGCTGCCTCGACTTCCGTCCCTCTGGAGTTGAGGCTATAGTAGGTTGGTAGGCGCCAAAGGTGAAGTCATCTCCCAGAGCATCTTCCTTATCTGTACAATGGCATTAGGATGGATGGATAGATGGATGGATGGATGGATGGATAGATAGATAGACAGACAGACAGACAGACAGAGATAGAGATCTATAGATCTATCTATATCTATATATTTAAAAACCACTTTCATGCTGTTGTTGTAAATTTTAGAGCCTCCAGACTGAAGCCCAAACATAGGTCAAAACAGAAATAAAATATAATGTGGAGATTGTAGATCCCCCACTGGGATATCAGATTTCAATTCTTAAAGAAGGAAATAAAAAGAAGAGCTTTTGGATTTGGGGTAAAATGTCTCAGATTCAATTTTTGGAAGCATTTTCAGGTATGATTAGAGATCTCTAAAATATTAGAGGTCTGATTCTGATTTAAAATTTTTGCATTGAGGGCTTGGAAATCATAAATGCAAAAAGCACTACATTCAAATGAACAAGGGAATCTTAGGCTTTCCAATGATTTTAAAAGGCTAGTTCATGAGGGTAATCTTTCAGATGGAATCAGATTTTCTGCCTTGTCTAATATAGCTGGAGAACACTTAGGCTTTACATTAAGTAAAATCTACTATTAAAGACTTACAAAATAGTGCATCAATTAGGAATTTCACTCATGTCACAAGCATTATAAAGCAGCAGATTACCAGTTTTGTTCAACCTTATCCCTTATAGCAGGGGTCCCCAATCACTAGTCCATGGACACGGACATGGTCCAGTCTGTGGCATGTCAGAAACCAGTCCCGGCAAACAAGCGAAACCCCATCCATGGGATGCAGGCAGCATGCGAAACCATGTTCCCTCCGGTCCCCAGAAAAACCTCTCTCCATGGAACTGGTCCCTGGTCTCAAAAAGTTGGGGGCCACTGCCTTATGGTAATTTTCTCAGTGTATTGAGAGTTCATTACTGGAAGAGACATGGCAACAAGGCCAGCCAATGAAAAGACATGGCAACTGGGTCAGCCAAAGAGGGCTGTTTGGAAACTGAAATTTGCATTTGCTGCGTGAGCAACAAGGATACAGCAGGGAGCCTGGGCGTGGCTTAGCTCAACTGTTCTGTACTAAAGCTCTGAGTCTGTGCTAAGCTCTAAACTAGTCTGCTGCTCTGAACTGAAACTTAAAGACCTCTCCTCTGCTTGTGTTTTGCTTGTATTTACTACCACGTTGGAAATTTTATGTTATATAAATGATATATGTTATATATCATGTGTTATATTACATAAAGAGAATGAACCCTGCTGAATCTGTTACCTATGTGCTTTCTGGATGTGATTGGTGCTGCCAACTCTGACAAATTTGTCGAAGTAGAAATGCATACCCAGAAAATGAATCTTTCAATGACAGCTGTGCAAGTCATAAGCCAAACTAAAACTATAATGTCCTGCCTTGGATATGGAATTGGACTAGAAGACCTCCAACATCCCTTCTAGCCCCACAATTCTATTTTTATTTCAGATCCAGAGAACAATTCATTTTAGAAGTTCTCTAGAAAACCCTCCGAAGGTTGGGAATAAAAACCAAAAAAAAGGAAAAAGGACTAAGCACAGAACTATTTTTCAATCTGAATCAAGGAGAAATTCTTCAATGTTCTTGATAGGGAAAAATAGTTAAATATTTTCTGTACTGTATACAAGCCCCCAGTAAAACATCAAAGAAACACATGAGGTAACAAAATTTTGTTTGAACAACAAACATCCCTTCAGGTTTCTTATGCAGATAACACCACTACAAATATTTCAACAAAAAAGTAAGAGTACTGTTTGTATGATAGAAGTACCTATTATTCTTACCTGTCTGCTTCTGATATTTCTTATCCAGCTTGAACTCTTTCGGTTCCCCTGTGCTTGGTCGCTCTAACAGTTTTTTTGCTGTTCCTAAACCCAGCAACTCATCTTGCCTTGCTCGCGCAGGATGAGATTCTTTTCTTTAATTTAAAAAAAACATTACCAAACTATATTATGAATTAAAGAAACTGAGGATGACAGAAAGAGAATGGCTCTTCTCAGGGTTTCTATGTTGTATCCCAGCTTTTACTTCATGGCTGACAAACAGCAATCTGAAAACTCATGGGTGGTTTCTGCTTAATGCTAAGAAACTAGAATACTTGATGAGAGTTTCCAGAAATCCATAAAAGTCTGTCTTGATGCCACTATACCAAGTAAGAGGTTAGATGCAATCTACAGACTACACTGAGAAATTTTATTTCCTCTTAAGTAGGACTGATCAGTGGCATTGTTTGGGATATAGGTAGTGTATGACCTTAATTGGAACTGGCAACTGTCACTAAGTGAACCCATTGTTAAGCAGAACATCATCATTGCCCCAACTTAGCAACAACAGTTCTACCAGTCCCAGTGCAATTAAGCAAATCACCAGCAGTCATTGAGACATCATGTGATAACTTGCAACCTCTCGCTGGTTTCCCCATTGATGTTGCTCATCCGAAGCCAGTTGGGAAAGGCATGAATGGTGATCAGGTGACCATAGGATGCTGTGACTATCATAAATGTGTGATGGTTGCCAAAAGTCCAAATGGCAAACAAGTGACTGCAAAGATGCTTGGGATGGTTGTATGTAGAAGAACTAATTATAAGTTACTTTTTTTCCAGCACTGTTATAACTTTGAATGGTCTCTAAACAATGGTTGTTTAGTGATATAATCAACAATTGGGATTTTTTTTTAAAAAAAGAGGTTAGTTAATTCTTAATTAATTGGTCCTTCTGTTATGCTACAGAGTGTACAATAAAATCAATGGTGGTAGTATGAATTGGCTCATAGTTCATCCTTCTTCATTCAGCAGACCTTCATATTAATGGAAATGCAGTTGCCAGATTTTCCCAGGTTTTTAGAGAAAGATATTTTAATGTGCTCCTACTATGAAACTATTGTAATATTTTGCATATCCAATAATGCCATGATTCCTAGATATTAGTAGCTCATTTTATTTTATTATTTGTCACATTTATATGACCACCCACCTCACACAAAGTGATTTTGGATGGCGTAAGTAGGGTTTTTACAGTGAATCATCTGAATGGTCCTTGGAACTGAGGTTACACGTGTAAGCAAAAACTGCAGCGATCTGCAGAAAATATTTGCCTGTCAGCTATTCTTTGCTTGCAGTATTCGCAGGCATGTTCGAGGACACGGGATGATGAAACAAAGTAATAACCTGCAACATTGTATTCACTTATTTGATAACACTACTTGATTTACTCAGCTATTACAACGTGAAAGTTCTCACGAACACCAATGATGTAAGGACTAACCAATTATTGTGCCTTGGAGACTT